AGTACCGGAAGTAACCGGAAGTAAGATTGGCTGTATGGATTTATTCTATCCTTGAAAGTTATCTAACAAGGAATTTTTCAGTGAGACATTCAAACTCAGTTTGTATTTTTTATTTGATCTATACTTGCTGTTTTTACACATCTATTCCATTTTTTTTCTACTTTTTAACACTAAGTCGCATTTTGTTTTTGTCGAACCCAGACCAACGCGCATAGTATTTGCAGAATTTTCCTTCTTTTGTTACGATCATTTTGCAAAGAATTTCAAACTGATTCTTGCCAGGAACGTATTTCGACGTATTCCATAAAAAAAATGCAATTTCAACATGACATAAGACGGCCGCACTACTATTAACTCGTCCGTTTCGTTCGCAAAACTGTATTTCGCATGAGGGACAATTTCCCAGTGTATTAGATTTGAATACAGTGGCAGTATATAAAAATTCTAACATTTACATGTTGCTGATTGTTACATAGAGTGGACATATTCGGTATTACGTGAAAAAATGCTCAATGACCTTCTTATTGATGAGTCGACTTAGTTGGTTTATTCATCAGAGTAAGTCACTATATCATGCCACAATGTTTGAAAAAAAGGGAAAAAAACTGCGTATAAAAAATTTCATGATGAAGTAGAGAGATTTTTTTAACTCTTGAGAGCTTGACAAACAATACCACATGAAGGCACTGCTCAGTATGCTCAATCACAATGGAGGTTTCATGCAGTAGATTGAAGAGTGAGGATCCTTGTGCGGCATAGCTAACACTTCTATAAGTAAGTGTTGCCAAGTGGCATTATTTCAATCATTACATGCTGGGATATACCCCTTCCCCGCCCCGGAATCCCAACTTCCCCTCCGAGATCCTCGAAGCCACATTCTAGGAGGAAAGTTTCAATACCATAAGGAAAGGATTGTAGTTGGCAGTACTTGGTAAAGATACAGCGTGTAAACCTTTTCCTTATCAGTCCTCGCATAAATATTATCGAGTTACTTATGAAAACATAAAAGTGCATCTCGTATCTTTTCTTTAGGAAACAAGTAGAAGTGGCTACTTTAGGAGGGTATCTTTGCGCCATCGGAGGTTATGATCACGGTCACAGGTATGACACAGTAAAGAGTACGATCCTGGTAAGGCTGAGTAGTTGCCTGTGGCACGGATGAGTATGTGGTTGGACGATACAATGTGACTTCGTATCTTAGTTCAGTTGAGAGGTAAGTTTGTTTGAGTAAGACTTGTTGAACAATTAATTGATTTTTTGATCTATAACATAAAACTTCTCGACGGCAAACACGGATGATTTGAATAAAGCCAGGCGAAGTTCGTTCTGAATTGAAAATGTAAAGCGTTGATAGTTGGTTACAAATCCATTCATAAAGGTAGTAGCCACGCATAGAGATAATTATCACGCTTAGCTCTTGCTCTATTTCGCCAAATAGCATCAGTTATCCCAGTCTCAATGAAGCCCTGATTTAGTGAAAGCAAACATATCCACACGGTAAGTTTAGAATCTTATGGCTCTTAGTCTATTGGTCACATGGTATTGCATTTTCCAAATAAAGAAAAGCAACAATGATCGATTTTTTTTACTTGCTATTGGAAATGTTGCATCGTATCAGACGATCAAAACGGGACAGGACGAGAATCCGATAATGTACATTTCACTCTCTTGTTTGCTCGTGTAAAACTAAAACTCCATATCTTCTTTACATACTGTTAGATACGACCCTTCATCAAACGAATGGCAACAAGCACCACCTTTGAGTCAGCCAAGGGACTGTGTAGCAGTTTGTGTGGCAAGCTGTAAAAGGACTTTTCACAATAAAAGACTTTTCGATTCGACGTCAGCGAATGCAAGACTGCATGCATGAAAATGTCCTTTTAAATCTGGCATCATGTGCATCTAAAGATAATTGGTTTGTTTTACCTGACGTTCGTTCCTCACAAACAGGGAACGCCTTGAGTTACGGTTTCAGTGATGGTGGGAGAGTCACGTGGTACACGTGATCGAAGTGCAGGTGTAATAACATAGGTGAATAATATGTGGCTCAGAGAAGCTGAAAGAACCACAGACGCAAAAGAGAGAGAAAATGGATCAAATGTAACCAGCAGTGTACTCGAGAACAGCATAATGAAATAAAAGTCAGTGTGTAAAGGCTGAAGTTATTCTGACCTATCCTGTTAGGAAACATTCATCCATAAGACAAACTTTGTACTCACTTTTACAAACCGACTCGATATCTTTTAACAGACGTTTATGTGGCGCAATCATGCAAAAAATTTGTGCATTACACCTCAACATAAGTTCAAGCAACTTGATATGAGGTGAAACAAGAAAATGATAAAGAAAAAGTCTTTCCTCCCTAAAGTCTTCGTTTTGTTTGTTCGTGCGTTACAGAGTCTTTTTCAATTACGGATTTTATAAATTTGGCGTTGTGACTTGTATCGAGTAAAGACAGATAGGTGTGCATAACATTGACTACAATTTCGTAGTTTCAGAAACAGTATGACGATTATAATTTATGTTAATTGGAAAAATATCGTAAATAGTGTCGATAACATAATCATCAACAAAAAAAAATTATACAAGGGGAGAAAGTGACGCCGTTTTAGAGCGATGAGAAGTTTTCTGAATCAATTTGAGAAAAGTTGCTTTCAAACTTTTCTCTCTTTTCGGGAAAGAAATTATTGATAACTATCAATAATCAAAAATGTGTGTTGTTAATTGCCTTGTAAAGAATATAGCTTTATATTTAAACGACTCCGATGAAAAAAAACTTATGAAGACGTGCAGGAAAGACCAGATTCTACCTTAATTAATAAGAATCTTTTTCTGTGGTGAAAATGGAGATTTACGCTTATTGAAAATCATCCATTATAGCCCTCACGCAGTGTCTCAAGAAAGAATTGCTTCGTGACAGAAGTTAACTTAATTTATGTTTAGGATTACAGACAGGACAAATCAATAGAAGATTGTAAGAAGTAGCAGAATGAACAATACCGTTTAAATAGGTTGTAGATAGATAGTGCACATTCGTTTGAAAAGAACCCTATTGAACAAGTTTCATCGAAACGCAAAGATTATTGTTAGATATTTATCCATGCAATACAGATTTATTTTATGATGTTGTACTGAAATTGTTTGTTTTACCTCACACAACGAGAGATTTATTGAATGGAGCTTCCTCACATAATACCTCACCTACACCCATAAGATGTTGGCTAAATAGGATAACATATCATGTACATAGGTGTTTACGCATGACACAATCGATCTTAAGGTACATCAGCCTAATGAGGTCTTCGGTAAGCCGTATAGTTTAGGTGGCCGTGACTATTTGTATCGAGGTTTAATTCAGACGTAAACGGCCTCTGATAGATGTCCGCCTCGCGGACGTCTACAAACAATTACAACGAAGGCATGTACATGGCGCTATCGACATTGCTGATCTCAGCATTATGCAGGACGCGTGTCATATATGAACTTCGCAATGACCTTGCTCGCCATAAAGTCTATAACTCAGTGGTAGAGCATCGGAGAGCGGGATCTAAAGGTCTGAGGTTCGATTCCTTATGGGAACTCAGAAATTTTGCATTGTCCCACGCTCGTGACGAGACGATAAAAAAATATTTCTCTATTTCTTTAGCGAGCTTAAAACCTACTATTTTTCTTATCATATTCATTAAGGATAATTTTTATCGAAACTGTCAGGAGGATGCGTCTCAAGATTGCAAAATGATAACTGAAATTTAAGATGCTCGGGAACACGACTTGGAGGAGTGACACTTCATTTTCAGATTTAGACCAAACATTCATGCATGTTGTTGATTCTTGTATTTATTTTGATTCTGAAAAGTTACATTTTATGCTTGTGCTATCACTGTTATTGCTACTATTTTTATTTTATTGATAAAAAAAAAAACGGAGAGAAAAAATGATTTTTGAAAGTTCTTGAAATGTGGCCTGCGAGGACACTATGAATATCTTGTAGTATGGTATGCTACCCTAATTAAGAGTTTACAATTGATTTCGAAGACACTGTGGAAACTTTTACTATAACTGTATATTTAGAGCGATTTTGAATAGTGTGGTAACACCTCACCTATGGCAATCACAACAGCTAGAAAAATATCACGAGGAGCCAATGAGAAGTCGCAGTAAAAAGAAGCAAACTAGTCCTAGCGCCAGAAAACGCCTGGGACTAAGTCGCGATTGGTTTTAGTTTTGAATCTGATTGGTTGAGAAAGTGGTGCGAGTTCTCTGGACCAATCACATAACGAAGTACAGTAAAACCAAAGCAGTCCTGGATTACTTTTGACACATGACATATTTACACCCAGCTACCGAAAAATCCTCACACTACTCGAGCATCCGAGCAAAATTAGGATAGAGAAGAAAACAAATGCAAAAATGAAAAATAAAAACTATTGCAAAAATTTAATACAAAAGAAACAAATAAGAGAAGCGATCTGTCAGAAATAGACACATCTTATGAATGGGATGTTTATTCCTGCAATCAATTTTTCCGTTTTTTCCGTCTCGAGTAATGGAATCTTTTAACGCGAGTGAAATAACTTTTTAGCTGTGTAATTGTT